ATATAAATAATTATCCTACTAATAGTGTATCATGTATAAATAATCCTCCTTCCAACAACAAGTCAGGTATAAATAATCCTCCTTCCAACAACAAGTCAGGTATAAATCATCCTCCTTCCAACAACAAGTCAGATATAAATAATCCTCCTTCCAACAACAAGTCAGATATAAATAATTATCCTACTAATAGTGTATCATGTATAAATAATCCTCCTTCCAACAACAAGTCAGGTATAAATAATCCTCCTTCCAACAACAAGTCAGATATAAATAATTATCCTACTAATAGTGTATCATGTATAAATAATCCTCCTTCCAACAACAAGTCAGGTATAAATCCTCCTCCTTCCAACAGCAAGTCAGATATAAATAATTATCCCACTAATAGTGTATCATGTATAAATCATCCTCCTAGCTTAATTCAATGACAAACACAGTATAGTTCTAGTGATTTAACAGATTTTTAACTTTTTCAATGATTGGTTATTTTAGTTTTACACTGTTACTTCATAGAAAAAGTCCTTCATTTTAACCCTTCTCTTTTCTCACATGTATGCATATATCCAAACTATCTTAATAACAAGTACAGAAAGAGAGCAAACGATTTCCTCACAGACTTTAATATTTTTATACTTACGTTTTCCCAAAGACGTTCACGTAATCACCTGGTCGAAAGTGAGCAGCGAACAGAGGTGTCCCTAAAAGATAATTATATCCCTTACCATCTACAATACACTGGATATATCTGGTATCAGAAACATTTGTTGTAAAACAATTACCTTCTCTGGACAGATAATCTATTACTTAATGTAAAACTTTATAAATAGGACATCCTTTTATTGCAATGTTAAATTAATCTATCTAACGCCACATAAAATAGCCTGCAATATATATAAATACAAAGTTAGCCTTTGGGAACAGGTCTGTAGAAGAGGATTTATACTTCACAAAGAATTTATCTGACCATAAATGTTCTGGAGAAATTAGTGCTAATGTGTTTGCTGTAACTACATTCCATTTCATTACTTAATTGAACTGCATTATATGGTTCGTAGAATATAACTACTGAATTAATCGTAACGTGAAATATCATGTTACAATAAAAATAGCATTCTTTAGAGAAAAGTTATGATATATACTTTATAAACTAGAAATTTACTTTTAAGTCATGTGTTACTATGAAAATGTACCATGCCAACCATTTTTGTTTAAAATAGCTTGATGCTTCTAATAATAAAAAAATACTTAGTGCTGCTGTATTAGACAAAGCAATAAATAAGTTTCAAGGTTTAATGAAATAAAATTTATATAAAAAACCAGCTTTTCAACATCATTAATACTCCTGGTATCAAAATTTCAAATTAGAAATAAAATCTCAGGATTGTTACAACTCTTCCTTAGTTGATTCAGTAAAAATTGATGACTATGTTTTAGTACCAATAAAGCTATTCATTAACAGTCCTAACAAAAGAGTACCCCTCCCATAAGTCATCTTTAAAAGTTGTTGTTACACAGAAACAAATTTAACGTTGAAATCAAAATTTCATCAGTATTACTTCAAAAATTATAACCAAATAAAAAAACATCTCACATTACAATCTCACTGTTCAGTTCATTTTCAGAGTTTCACAAAAAGCTACACAAGGGCTATCTGCATATAGCCATCCCTAATTTTATACGGATAGACTAGAGGGAAGGCAACTTGTTGACAACTCCAATCAACTTATATAGTGGGATCTGACTGTCACTTTTATAACACACATGGACCTAAAATATTAAGCATGTTTTACAGTAATGGATTAGGAATCATGAATTTCCAGATTCACTCCAGGCAAACTAACCAATGAGCCATGCCCAGCTCATCTCACTATTCAGACGAACCTTGAGGTTATATGACCATTAGAAGGGTAAATGCTTAGGTAACCAAAGGTTCCTCGATCCCCTAACATACTTAAATACATCAATAACTAAACTATATGACAAACAAGAATCTTAGCCATTTAATATTTTAAAAATTTATTAATATTGTTACAACAGCGGAAGTCACGTGATGCTGGTAACACGTGATGAGGTTCTAGAAAGATCGGGGAACCTCACGATTGTTCCAGCGTTTGCTAGATGCCCTCTTTTTTAGTATATAAGCCCGGCAAATAAAGCAGGGAGATAATCAAGTCAAGCCGTAAGTAAAGTGTGTAAATTGTTGTGAATTATAGCGTATGTTTAAGTTAAAGTGACTGTGGAAATTCTGTGTATTACAAAAAGTTGTATCAAGAAAGAATAAACTAGTTTTAATTAAGAAAGGACTTGTATCGCTGAAGTTTCTCTGAAAGAATTTCTATGGGAAATTAACAAACAAGGAGATACGTAACAATATCTTCTGTAATTGTATTTGACGAAATTTAACAATGCTCCTTCATGCAAATTTTGAACATTCAGAAGTTAAGTACTTTGACATGTAGGAGTTTGTTTTTTTATTAATGCAAAAACAGGTCTTATAACTGAGCAGGAATTAAAAAAGTTACACATCAATAAGTATTTTGCCAATACAGTGGTTACCTTACATTCACGTATGTTCAATATTGTCCTCATAATAGTTTTGAACTTAGCCTCATCGTGAAAACTCGGTGTTGCCTCCGACCTAAAAATTCATCCCACATCAACCGGTATCTACCCACTCCCGAAGCTAAAGGATCTGAACTTATTAATGACATTATAATATCGAAAAGTACTTTTAAAACACGTATTAATATTGTTTTCAGGACAGAGAAATAAAGCTACAGCATGTTCGTTAATACACAACACTGACTACAAACTCTCAAAGTAATGTTTTTAATTTCATTCAACTTCCTCTATTAGATTAATTTAGAATTAAATACATTAAACACAGTCATCAGTTATGGCAGGTTACTATTATAACAACATAAGGGCAAAGAAAATGTGTGAATCAATAATATACATTCCACAAAATCAAACTATTAAATGTTCCCTCACTACATTTAACTTATTGCTATGACTTGCAAGAAAATTTTTATTGTTTTTATTTATTAAAGTGAAGAGCCTGGTTTACGACAGTGAATTTGTTTTGGAATGATATATTAAAAACATACCTTTAAATGTTTTGGAATGATATATATTAAAAACATACCTTAAAATGTTTTGGAATGATATATTAAAAACATACCTTTAAATGTTTTGGAATGATATATTAAAAACATACCTTAAAATGTTTTGGAATGATATATTAAAAACATACCTTTAAATGTTTTGGAATGATATATTAAAAACATACCTTAAAATGTTTTGGAATGATATATTAAAACATACCTTAAAGAACTTTCTTCTAATGTTCTATAGCTTACATTTATTATTTGAGATATAAGTAAATAAGTGGTAAACAACATGAGCTATGGAATACAGCTCCGTGCATGATTACATGTATAACATTTTCATAGGTAAGACAATTAACAACACAGAATCTTGAGTATGGAAGCACATTACGCTAATATAATAATAAATCGACAAACAACAATTTATAAGCACAATACAGTGATATATTTTTGTGGAAATATACAACATGTTTCAACAGGACATTTGGCGTGACAATGAAATGAGTCAGCTTTCTTTATTTTTTTCCTATATTTAAATGGCAATTGGGTTTCCAGTTTTCTGTGTATTATAAGCTAGAAAAATAAACATACATTTCTAAACTCACCTGGTTGAATTGCTGCGTTTGGCGTAACAATGAAACGAGTCAGCTTTCTTTTAGGCATTACCCCAGCTTCTTTAAAGAGTCCATTATATTCTGCTGTGAACTAAGTACAAATAGCAAAAAAATTCTATATATTTATTATTCACATTTTGAAATAAAAAGTATTTGAAGGATGTTTTTATTGATATCATAAAAAAAAACTGAATAATAATGTTACATATCTAGCTTTTTCTAAATTTGTTACATAGAGTTTATATAAGAAAGTCAAATACACACTTCATTTACAACTAGGTAGATTTATTTACACACTTATAGAACTACTGGTTTAAATTATGCATCTCTTTCTGTATACAATGAAAATAAAAGCCAAACACCAGTCATGTAGTTCTTTTTAACATTTTTTTTTTAACTTGAGAACCAACTGTTTTTACATGGTTATAGTTCTTAATATAATCATAAAACTGTTTTCATTTTACAGACTGTTAGTCATCAGTCTTATTTCAACGGTGAAAAATATTTCAGAAAAAGTAATCTGATTCTAATGTTAAGAAAACTTAGGATTTGAGATCCTATTGCTATTCTACTTTTTCAGACAAATTATTACTTTTTATGAAAATACACTGCTTATGTAAATCTGTAATGGCAATGACTTTTACATGCTTACCAGCTGAGGATCAGAACTTTCAGCTCCAACTACAATACATCCTTTTCCTTCATATTTTTTTCCAAATGGTGTATTAACAAAAGCTTCTGGAGGATGGTACTTAATTACATGATTATCAACTACCTGAGAACAGACAGATAACTTTCTAAAGCAGAAGTCTACAAACAATGATACTTAAAAACAGTAATTTTAAACATCTGAACTTTTATAACTGGAAGTTAGTTGCAATAAGACTTTAATGCAAGTTTTAAAAGTTACATTTAATTTTTTCCACCCTATTTTTTTTCTTTAAATTTTAACTATTCTGGTCATGAATTCACAACAGGTGAAATACTGTTAATAAAAACTGGGTTTAGAATTGTCTAGTAAAGCTATACTAGACTTTAATTTTGGATTGAATTTTCTATGCCAACTTCAGATGTTGAAGAGCAGAAAACATCTAACATAATGGCACATTTTTCTAAACTATTCTTTTGTATATGTCTCTCCATTATAAAGAGTTGCTAATTAAGAAAACAAGAGGGTAATCAAAATACTAACACAAAAAGTTTCAAAAGAAAAAATTACAAGTTTTTCACTTGTAACTGTCAAAGAAGTAGTTCTGTCAAATAGAACGTTTTGGAAGATACCATATGAGAACAAGGGACCATTTAGTCCTTCAAGGTTGTCCATGTACACCTACTCTCAAGAAAGGTTTATTTTTAAACTCAAACTTTACTTCTAAGGAAATCAATTCCCTTTTTAAACTCACATTAAGTGCTGGCTACCGCTAATGACAACTCACTATATAAGCCAATCACTCTGTTAAAAAAATACAACTATTTTAAGTGGAGCCTACCCCTGTCATTTTCCGAAGTTCAAACTCACCCATTTCCTACACACTATAGCATAAAGATATTGGAGGCATTTATCTTATCAATCCCCCTGATAACTCGGTAAATTTCAATAAGATCCTCTTCTAACCTTCTTTTATATACAAAAGAAATCTTAACCCATCCATACAAGTTAACCCTTCTATCCCTAGAATCATCCTCTGAACCAACAAGTCAATATACTTTCTTAGATAAGAAGACCACAACTGAACAGAGTATTCCAAGTGAGGCCTAACTAGCAATTTGGGGAGAGATACTTTTTTGAATTGTAGTCAATATGTCTATAAATACATCTTAAAATACTAGTAACTTTGTTACGAGCAATGCAAGTAATTGTGATGCTTTTCATGGCATACATTTCCAGTTACTCAAACTGTGCATTGAAGATTTGTACAACAAAAGCACAAAGACGAGTTATTATTAAATATAGATGAGTTTTCATGCATTCAACATACATTTTTATGCAAGTGAAATTAGCTTTGGGCTTTAATATATTATCAACAAGTGTATCCAATAACTTTTTCTTAGATTTATAGCAAATAAACTTAAGATGAAAGACTTCTTTGAATGAAGATGTGTCCCGAGAGATTTATCAAATATAAACATCGGACGAGAGCATCTGATGTCTCACAAACATGAATAATAATGTTAAAATAAGCAGCATAAAGAATACTTTTAAAAATAGCAGATAAATATACAATACCATGTAATCTAAAATAAAGTTCATATGGAAACAAGCTTTGACATGTCCTATTCAGTCCAACTTCTGTTTGTATTTCTTTATTAAATTCTGAAAGGGTGTCAAAATTTCTTTCCATATAAACTTGTTGTTTCGTGAGAGCAAATCTTTATCTTGGATTTTCAAGAATGCTACATTGAATTTATACGGATTACAATCAGGAGTTTCGAGGGAAGAAAAGTATTTAAATGGTAATTGTTCTAGTCAAACTGATGATGTCAATGGCAAAATGCATTTTGAGATTTGGAGTTGTTACTAATAGTAATACTGATGCAATAATTATGGAACACTATAATTTTAGACACATCAATTGGGATTGTATGAATACGTATGATGAGGTTTCTGGAAGTGATTCAGGAGGTTTTCTGTATCGAGTGGCGAATCAAAAACTTTAAATTTATTGTGAATCACTAATGTTTAAAAGAGTTGAGGATAATTTGAGGAAGACTGATCAATAGGTTTTGATATTTTGCTATACGAGTGACGTACAAAATTCATAAAAATATGTTTCTTCTAATTCAAACCAGGAATGTTCCCAGAAATAAGGACAAGATTCAAACCTAACTAGCTTGCTAAACATGTAAAGAAGAAAATCACGTTTAAAATGCCGTAAGTTTAAAAAATTTATTTTGAATGACACATTGGATTATAGAAAAGCCCTCAGTTTGGTTAACACTATCCAGACCAGAGAACACCTTTCAGATGCTGAGTACACACTTACAGATTAAATTTCAAAATTTAAGTAAAAATAATAATTCCAATTCAATTTCGATTTTTAACTCAAAAATATTTTGTCACTTTCCAGCTTGCAAAGAAAAATATAAAAATATTTCAAAGTTTCATTTCCTGTAAACAATTCACATATGAATCTTTTAGAATTTTTCTCCCAAACTATCATCCTTTGAGAATATAATTATTCTTGTCTTTCTTTCTTACATTCATGATTTTCTTTTTCTTTCACTGATTTTATTACCACAGTCTTTCATTCACAGATTTTTCATAAGTATTTTAAACTTCCCATTAGATTCCATTGTTGTTCTCTGCAGGAGTTAGGTCTAGTCACTTTTCCGCAAAACCATAAATTACTTCTTACACCACCATATTTACCCTATATAGACATAACTAGTTTATAAACTGCTCTATCCAATGGTATTTAAACTTTTCCTGCAGCAATTTCAAAAG